ATTCTTTCATGAACATCTGGCTTTTTTCATGTTTTCCTACCTTTCTAGCCTTTTTTTAGTAACTACTTAACTTTTCTAACAAAGTAAATTCACTTGCAATAGCATGCCATAACTTTTTAAATAACTTAAGTCACATCTGATGTGACAGAAACCATAGGATAGTGACTAACACAATTGCTGCAGTACTGGTACAGTACTCAGATGGAAGGTACCACACCCCTGGGCTTTTCATCATAAGGTCTATGTCTCTTACCCTTGCTTTTAAGTTCTAATGCAGCACAAGATGGTATTGACACATACTGAAAACCTATAAAAACAACAAGGAGTCTGGTGGCACCTTAAAGACTAACAGATTAATTTTATGCTATGCATCTGAAGAAGTGAGGTTTTTACCCACGAAAGCTTATGCCCAAATAAATCTGTTAGTCTTTAAGATGCCACCAGACTCCTTGTTGTTTTTATAGATACAGACTAACACGGCTACCCCCTGATACCTGAAAACCTATAGTTAAATGAAAACAATGAGGAGTCCTTGTGGCACCTTAGAGACTAACAAATTTATTTGGCCAAAATAAATTGGTGCCACAAGGACTCCTCATTGTTTTTGCTGATACAGACTAACACGGCTACCACTCTGAAACCTGTCACCATACAGTTAAATAGAATTAGTTAAATTCACACTCCCTCTGAAACAATACAAACACCATGTAATACTAGAACATACACCTTTCCCGATGCTCTAATATGATTGTCAAGATTTCCATTTTAAATGCTATTTTTATAGGTTTTATATTCTGAATGGATCTAGTAATCTGATCAAGGCTCAAACGGCATTAAAATCAAACACCTGTTAAAATATTTCTTTAAGAACACATTTAAAACCAACAAAATCCCAGAAACACGAAGTTTAGGTAGCTGTGCCATCCTTCACTCCCAACCGTGAAAGCTGATTTACTCCACAACTGTGCGATTAAAGAGAATCCACTTCACTTCCCTGGCTTTAATCCAATACGAACATCTAAGTTTCCTAGCATTGATGTAGGAGCAGTCAGCATCCACATTCTCGACACCTGTCTGTCTACCAGCAGGTCCACTGGAAGCAAGCCCCGCAGCCAGCAGGAAAACCTCGGTGTCTGAGAGCCGGGGCCAGGGCTACTCACCAGTGCCTCTTGATCGGCGGGGGGAATGGCAGAGGCGCCGGGGCAGTCGTCCGACCCAGCTGACATCTTGGTGTTGCACATTTGCCTGAAACGAAGACGGGCGGTGTTAGCCGCTTGCCCGGCAGCGGGCGAAGCGGGGAGTCCGCACGGAGGAGCAGGGCCGGGGTCGGGGTAACGCGAAGCACTCGGTGCCCTGCGGGACCGGGGGTCCCGGCCTCACCTGGGCGCTCCCGGCGGGCGCACGCGCGGCTGAGCTGCTGCACCGGCATGAAGCGGCGGGGCCGGGCCGGGCCGCCTTTAAATAGCGTCGCCAGACGAAGGCAAGTCGGGGCTTAGCTCCTCCGCTGGCCGCGGCATGTCTGAGCATGACCCGGGGGTGACGCTGCTGCGTCACAGGGGGAGGCCGCGCGCTGACTCACCCAACGGCTGGGGCGGCCGCCTCGGTCCGGCCCCTCGCCCCAGCCCCAGCCCCGGCCGCCTGTTCCTCTTTCCCGGGCGGGCCCCGCGCGGCCTCCCTCCGCGGAGCCTGCCCACCAGGAGTGGGGGAAGCGCCCGCCTACCCCGCCCGCGCCCCTCCCTCCGCCCGCCAGGCCCAGCGCCCCGTCCCCACGCACCGCCAGCCGCTGGGGAGAGGGAGGTGCCGCTACCTCCCGCGAACGGCTGCGGCCAGACCCGCTCCGAGCGCCGCCATTTCCCCGACGCTGCGCGGCACAACGCCCACGGGCCGGTGGTTTCCTCGCTGCGCACCCGGCAGGCGGGCGCCCCCTCGCGGCCACGAGAGCCTGCCCGGCCCGAGCTGCATCCGGGTCTCTGGCCTGGGCCTCGCTGCGCGTAGCGCGCAGGCTCCCAAGGGGGAGGGGCCGCTGCTTAGCCCGGGCTTGTCCCCAGCCCCGCCAAGGCCCTGCCTCCGCCCGCCCAGACTGAGGGGACCCGCCACCACCTCCCGCAGCTGCAGGACTGAGACCCGGCCTGACCCAGCCCTTTTCACACACTCCGGGAGCTGCATTTCTCCCGTGGCCAAAGCGACCCCTCTGCGTTGCCCCCACTGCCCTATTCCCCGGCCACGCAGGGGGGCAGTTGTCTCCCACCAAGGCAGGTATCCACACCGGCCAGCAAACCAGGAGCAGGATCCCGAACTGCGCGGCTGTTTGCTCCACTCCAGTGGTGCCGAGCCTGGAGCGCTGAACAGCACGTGAACCCACTTGTTGAACTGGTTTGTAACTGGGGCCTGGCCCAGTCATCTGTGACGGGTTGGATAACAGAAACCCCCTTGGGAGCTGCCAACCGATGTACCAAGATTACTCCAGCACCCCGTCTTGTTGAGCCAGACACTCCGGTCTGCTCCAACACAGATCCAGGGTCTGAATTACTTGCCCCAAAACTAGTTTACCTGAAAGCAGCTAACAGCAGTGTGCTTGTCTTTAACACCCAGATGCCCAACTCCCAATGGGATCTAAACCCAAATAAATCCGTTTTACCCTGTATAAAGCTTATACAGGGTAAACTCATAAATTGTTTGCCCTCTATAACACTGATAAAGAGATATGCACACCTGTTTGCCTCTCCCCCCCAGGTATTAATACATACTCTGGGTCAATTAATAAGTAGAAAGTGATTTTATTAAATACAGAAAGTAGGATTTAAGTAGTTCCAAGTAGTAACAGACAACAAAGTATGTCACCAAGCAAAATAAAATAGATTGCACAAATCTATTCTAATCAAACTGAATACAGATAATCTCACCTTCAGAGATGCTTCAGTAAGTTTTTTCCTCAGACTGGACACCTTCCAGGCCTGGGCACAATTCTTTCCCCTGGTACAGCTCTTGTTCCAGCTCAGGTGGTAGCTAGGGGATTCTTCATGATGGCTCCTCTCTCCCCCTTTGTTCTGTTCCACCCCTTTATATATCTTTTGCATAAGGCGGGAACCCTTTGTCCCTCTGGGTTTCCACCCCCCCCACTGGAAAAGCACCAGGGTAAAGATGGATTCCAGTTCATGTGACATGATCGCATGTCACTGTAAGACCCCAAGCCTTCATTCCTCCCAGCCTGACTCACAGGAAGGCTTGCCTGCAAACAGAGCCATGCAGTCAATTGTCCTGTTGATGGGAGCCATTAAGATTCCAAACCCCATTAATGGCCCACACTTTGCATAATTACAATAGGTCCTCAGAGTTTTATTTCATATTTCTAGTTTCAGATACAAAAGTGATACCTTTATACAAACAGGATGACCACACTCAGTAGACAATAAGAATATAAGACAATAAGAGACCTTTTGCATGAAGCGTATTCCAGTTACATTCACTCTATCAGATTTTTATAAAATCATATAGACTGCAAAGTCACACCATCATCCTCAGTTACTGTTCTATAGATTAGGTTTTAACCATGCATATATAACATACGCCTGGATTTCTGCGGACAGCAGGACTACACACCCATAAGGAACATATCACAGGATCCAGAGTAGCAGCCGTGTTAGTCTGTATCCGCAAAAAGAAGAACAGGAGTACTTGTGGCACCTTAGAGACTAACAAATTTATTAGAGCATAAGCTTTCGTGGACTACAGCCCACTTCTTCGGATGCATATATCACAGGATCGAGGCCGTGGTCATCTGACAAAAAAATCCCTGCCTAGCCTGAGGTCAGGAAAAACACACTTACTTGAATAACTGTTTGAATCAAGTTTAGCAGTTTCAACTGTAGAGAAAAACAGTGGCACAGGAAAGGGAAAAGTTGGATGTAGTGATAGATATTTCTAGTCATTTTCTTTCCAGCTCATGTTCTCCCTCTTGTCTCACAAAGTCCACATTTTTTAGTAAAACCCTCTATAAAAAATACTAGTATTTCATTAATAACTTATTGGGTGTAGAGGTGAAGAGTTAAGGGCAGTCAGAGGAGAAAAATTAGGGCCCATCAATAATAGCAAGTCTACTATGTAATCCTGTTTTTTCCCTGCAAATCTTTATTTCCCCTTTTTATTTATTAAGAACATAAAATTCTCTATACTATATTAGGCCATCCAGTGTTTCCTGTATAGCTGTTTGCTTCCGCCATGCACGCTGCCAGTTGTGCAATGCCATAGAGGTGGGCTGGGGGAAAGGGAATTTTTCTGACTTGTGTGTCAATTATCTTAAATGCTGAAGTATAAGGTTTGATTACATTTATTTTAGTAGAAATTACTACTATTGATGTTAAAGTTTTATAATTCTTTAATAAATCCAGCTACAACATATTATTATTATAGAACAGTTGTCTGTGACCTATGGCATTTCATCCAGATGAATAAAAGCAGAGAACCTTTCATATCATTCACATAACTAATTCAATGCCAGATTAAAGTAAATTTTATTCAGTTTGGTACTAGATGAAGACACTCTTGCTTGCTAGTTTGATTTCCAAACTCCCCCATAATAGGCATACGTATTACTAATTTTTACTAATGTATGCAAATCAGTGGTTAAAGTAGATTGAAACAGGAGGGGAATGTGTGGAAAGGAGCTGTTTACTCAGTCCAAGGAGAGGTGGGGAAGCCACCCTCTCCTTTTTTTTCCTCTCCTTTAATCCCTGATTCAAATATTCTAATAAGTATAGGGTCTTCAAATTAAAAAGATAAAATGTAAATTAATTTTAGTAATAGAATTATTTGTTTCTAGCAATAGTATTTACTAATTATACTGTTAATTGTATAAGTCAGTAGAGCTGGTCAAAATTTTTCATTCAAAATCTTTTTTTTTTTAACACAAAATTAGACCTTTTTTTGAAACCATAGCATTTGGTTTTTAACATTTTCCATTTTTCTGCTGAAACCTACAACTGCCAATTTTTTAAATTGAAATCTAGGAATGGAAAGAACAGACCTGAATCATTTGAGAGTGGAAGGAGAATAAAGGTAAGAACTGCACATGTTTAATTCTAATCTTATGTAATCATTTTAATAGACAGCGTAATATAGTACAGCCTTGCTTATCAGAACATGATGGAGAACAAAAAGGAAATTTGGATAATTATGTTTTTGGATATTGAGAGAATTTTCATTGTAGGACATGATCCTGTTTCAGATAGTGTTTAGAGATGTACTACTGTTAGGAATGAGTGATAGTTACCAAAGCTCAACAAAGCTACTTGCCCATGACAACTAACATAGGCCTGGTCTATACCTAAAAATTAGATTGAGCTAGGTAAATTGCTCAGGAAAAAAAAAAGTTTGCTCCCTGTTTGATATAATTAGGTCGACCTAATCCCCACTGTAGACACAGCTAAGTCGATGGAAGAATTCTTCCATCAACCTAGCTACCAGCCACCTCTCATAGAGGTGAATTAATTACAGAGACAGAAAAACCTCTTCCATCGATGTAGGAAGCATCTATGCTATGACACTACAGTGGCACAGCTGTAGCCGTTATAATGTAGCTACACCCTTGTCTGCACAAGAGATAGACAAATGTCTAGAGCCCTGCGCAGATACACATTTATATCCGCGGATGCAAATCGGTATCCGCGGAACCACAGTGGCGAAAGGAGCAGAACATGGAGCTGCCGCTCCCAGGAGCCAGCGCCCCACGCTAGCAGCTCCTCCGGCATGGCTGTACCGCCCACAGCCCTGCCTCAGTCCCTTTCACATAGCTGTCTGCCTCTCCTGTCTGGGGGCGTGCGCGCCCCTTTAACACAAGAGCACAACCAGGGACAGCTGCTGGTGAGCCTGGTGCCCGCCCCAGTGGGCAGGGTTGGGGGTGGTACAGCCGCACTGGAGGAGCTGCTGGCGCGGGACACTGGCTTTTGGGATTGGCAGTCCCACCCCACGTTCTGTTTCCTTTGCCGCTGCGGTTCCCAGGAGAGCCCTGCGGTTCCGCAGATAACTATTTATATCCGTGGGTATACATTTGTATCCGCGCAGGGCTCTACAAATGTCTGGGCTTGTCCATTGGACAAATAGTTTTTCAACAGGACCTTGTAAAAATTCCAGTGATCATTAAATCTAGGTATTTGTGTGTGAGTACTTAGATTTTCAAGACAGTCTTGTTATCCTTCTAAAACACAAAGCTCAAGGTCCAAGAAGTTACACGAGTGGCATTTAAACAATTGCCAGAATTTTTGAGATGTGTTTACATTCCATTATCTCCGGAATTTCAAAGTGCAGAAAGATTGTTTTCATGAGGACGGAATGTCCTAGCCTACAGCTGACAAAGCAAGAATCCTCTCACACTTACCCCTCCCTAACCAAATGTAGCCAGAACCTAACCTGATCATTACAAGAGCGATACTCATACAAAAAGTATTAAAGTGTGTAGAGCTGAATCGCTAGAAGTTTTACTGTTGGACTTAACATAAAACAACAGTGACAGTTTTTACTCTATAGTAGGAAATGATTGAATTAACACTTTTATTCCTGTACAGAATGCAACTAGTGAACTGAGGCAAAACAATTAAAAGCACAGACAGAGAACACCTTTTACATCAACAACATAACAGCTATTACATTCAAAACAGAAAGATAGCATTTGCTTAGTCTCTACAAATCTATGTCAAAGTATCAGGCCTTGTAGCTGTATTTGTGGTATGGTTTTGCTCAGGCTGTATATAAGTGACATGCCTGTTTAAATCATCAGTAAGTTTTACTGTGATTAATATAGCCCACGCTCTTAAAAAACAGGTAGTTATGTCTATCTTTTTCCACTCCTCAGCCAGCGAGTGTCTTGCTATGACCAATGAGTGTGAGAGTGTTCTTCAGCTGATAGCTACCATTCCCAGAAGAGCTATCAACAGGGGAAAAGTTTCTGACCATGATTTTTATTAGCTTTTGGGCACAAATCTTCTTTTCTCAGGCAGAATTTATAGTAAGTCAGTGGGAGATTGGTCTAGTTTAAAAATCTGCTGTTCTGTTTTCAAATCTGCAGCGGTGCAACTGTAGCAACACTAAGCCTCTGGTATCGATAGTTTTTTATGACATGATGATAAAGCAAATGAGTGTGCTTCTCTCTCTCCCCCTTCTTACTGAGCTTACACTGTTGCTTGCTACCACTGGTGCAGTTGCACCATTGTTGGCAGTTGCTGTAATACAAGACTGTTTTATTGTAAGACTATTTTTGCTAGCATAGACAAAACCAGACTGTGATATTTTTAGGTTGTGCCCTTAAGACAGCAAATATTCTCACTGTTCCGATACCCCAGAAACAAAAGGAGGCCACCATCACTTTGGAGCCCTACCCAGTGACATGATTAGAGCCATAGCTAACATGTCTGTGGTTGCTCATTAAGGACCAGGATAATTCAAGCCATTCTAATACAAATTTACACTCTGCCTAAAGACATGATTCATAATTGCTTCATTTGCAAGCTAGAAATAGGTTTTCCCCATAGCTCTTTAGAATATGGGTCTGTACTACAACAGACACTTCCCCTATGCAAAAGCCAGGTTGCTATACCATATGAATGAACTCTGTAAGGCTGCAGCTACACTATAAAAAGGACTCAAAGGAGCTATTTTTGACAAAGGATGCCACCCTCAAGGAGTATAGAAACTTGTCCAGCTGTTGTAGTTAAGGTCAGCTCCTGCTGCATAAAACATTCTACAAAGTTTAGGCACCATTTTAGTGCCACTAAGGCCTGGCCTGCACTTAAAAGTTTTGCTGACGTAGTTATATCAGTTCAGAGTACCGGGAAAAAATGCACCCCTAATTAGGGTGACCAGACATCCTGTTTTTAAGCCCTGCTGCAGGTGACCTGGCTTTTTCTTTAAAATGGGCAAATTGTCCTATATTTTCTGCCTCCTCCCTCCGTCAGTACTGGCTGGTCCTGCTGCTGGCCAGATCCCTGCTCGCTAGCTGCACACCCACCAGCCGTGAGTGGGGTGGTCCAAAGGCCGAAGATGGGGGTTGGTGTGCAAAGCTGGTGGCTGGGCAAAGCTGCAGCGTGCGGGGCCAAGCCTCTCCCACTCACGGCCGGCTTTAGGCCGATTCGGCCGATTCCCCTGAATGGGGCCCCACGCCTAGAGGGCCCCGCGCAGCTGTCCACCCCACCCCCGACCCACTTCCCCCTCCTCCCCTGAACGCTCCGCCCCCCCTTCTCCTCCCCCTCCCCTGCTTCCCGCGAATCAGATGTTTGCGGGAAGCCTGAAACAAGCAGCAGGCAGGAGGTAAGCTGGGGTGGGGGACATGAGGAGGGTTCCAGGGAGGCGTGGCGCAGCCCAGTCCGGCCCTGGCCGAGCGCGCGGCTCCCTCCGGCCTGGCCCTGGCCAAACGCTCCCAGGCCCGACCCGGTCCCGGCCGAGTGGCTCCGGCCCAGCCTTGGCCCCAGCCGAGAGGCTCCGGCCCAGACCCGGACCTGGACCCTGACCCAGCCTGGACCGAGCGGCTCCGGCCTGGACCCGGCCCTGGCCGAGCGGCTCCGGCCTGGACCCGGCCCTGGCCGAGCGGCTCCGGCCTGGACCCGGCCCTGGCCGAGCGGCTCCGGCCTGGACCCGGCCCTGGCCGTGCGGCTCCAGGCAGCGCGGTAAGGGGGCAGGGAGCAGGGCGGGGGTGTTGGAAGAGGGCAGGGGAGTTTGGGAGGTCGTGGGGGGGTAGATAGGGGTCAGGGCGGTCAGAGGGCAGGGAACAGGGGGATTGAATGGGGGCAAGGGTCCCAGGGGGGCAGTCAGGAAGGAGCAGGGGTTGGATTGGGCAGTCGGGGACAGAGAGAAGGGGTGGTTGGATGGAGCAGGGATCCCAGGGGGGCATCAGGAATGAGAGGAGGGGTTGGATGGGGCGGCAGGGGGCAGTCAGGGGACAGGGAAGGGGGTGGATGGGGCATGGGGTCCCAGGGGGGGAGGGGGGGAGGCGTCAAGAACTTTAGGTAGGGTTAGCATGCATCCGCATACATTACGCAATGTATGTAATATATAATTTTGTTATTATTTATATAGTTATGGAAAGTAAATAATACAGGGAAGAAATGAAAGGTGTTTTTTAATTTTTTTTTAAGTCATCCGTCAGGGCCCCGCTGAAAATGTTTGAATTGGGCCCCACACTTCCTAAAGCCGGCCCTGCTCCCACCGCCGGTCCGTCAGTGCAGCCCCCGCTGAGTGCTGGCTCTGGAGTGTGGTGGGGAATGATTTCCAGCCTGTTTACTCCCCTCTCCCCCCGTCCCCGAACCTGCCGGCTCCATGGCAGCCACCCGGGCAGGGGATTGGCACCCTCTTCACCTGCCCGTCCCCAGGCATCCTCCCCTGCCGAGCCACCTCTCTGGCTGGGTTCACTGAAGCCCTGGTGCACAATGCATCCTTAGGGCTTAACCCTTTCCTGCCCGCACTGTAGCTGAGGGGGCGTGAGAACAGGAGGCAGCTGGGTTATGTCGGTGACCAGCAGCAGCCTGGAGGTGTTAACTGCCTTTTGACAGTGTGTGGGCAGGAAGGCACAAGCTGCTTCCAGCCACGGTAGGGGTCGTGGGAGAAGAGAGGAGTTCTGCAAAGACATGGGCCAGGTCATTCCTTCCTCCCTCCCTCCTCCCCTGTGGCTGGAAGTAGCTCCTGTCCCTTCCCTCCCGCACAGTGCCGATAGGCTGCTGCTGGCCACATTCTGGTGTGAACCCTGGCAGAAATCTGTGGAGGGGGGCATGTGACCCTGTGTGCCCCCTCTACGTGTTGCCTCAGGAAGACACGGCACCAGGTACTGGGAGAGGGGGAGTCCATCCTGGAGACCCAGCCAGGCATGGAAGGTGGAGAGCGCCGGGCAGGGAGCATTGGTCGGTCACCCCCCCCATGAGAGAGAGAGGGGCACGTGTCACCTCTCCCCGTCTGTGTGTGGGGGGGAAGAGGTGTGGGTATCACCCCTCCCCCGTGAACCTTAAAGATAAAGAAGGTAAATAAAAAGAATCCAACTACACAGTATTTCTTTTTACCGGGGGCTCAGTCAACTT